CTACTGGCAATCAATTATATAGAAGCCACATGTGCCAAACTAAATTAGTACTACTATTGGGCAAAGAATTCCAAGTCTCCTATATCTTAAGCTGTTATCTATGACTTCAAACTACAAAAAAAGATAATGTATAATTTCTCCAGTTTTCAGTAATCAGGAATAAAAAAAATTAATCAATATTGCTTGGAGTAAAGCATTTCAGGAACAAGAGGTATGTTTTTAGATAACTAACACATTCTTACAAAAAGTTATTCAGCCAGAATATGAAATTAAAACTAAGCAAGAGGAAACTATTATAATTTATTTAGTTCTTTCTATACCTTCCAAGGTAATGGAAGAGGATTCTTATAATTCAAACTAGCAAATATTTTAAATGTATTGGCAAAACTAATATGTAGTAAATTGGCAATGATTCTGAATAAATTCCCAAAATCAATATTTTCTTTAGGTACATAACTTTTAAACATTAAAAAAAAAAGTAACTTTTGCATGCCTTAAACCTCATTTAAAACAACATTTAAATATTTTTAAAACTTTTGGTTGTGATCAAAAGTTTCATCTGTGAATTCATCATTGAAGGTGATGTGGAAAACAGTAATTAAGTGGGTGATTGATACGACTGAAGGTATGACTCATAGTTTGCTAAGGAAAATGATTTGGGGGGAAAAAGGCTCAGGAAGAAAAGAAGCAAATAATGGATTCTGGATGAGATGAAGACCTTTCCTGTCCAAGGGCTGTCACCAGTTCTTTATTACTTGAAGATTAAGGGAATAGGGAATAAAGCTGTCTGCCAGACAGCCAAAAATGTAAGAATAACATTGTCTCTAAGTGCATCTCACTTGAAAGTTTTCAAAAACTATATTCATAAAATTAAACTTTCTATAAAAAGTTACTAGAAAACCCATCTTGAATCAGAACAATGGAAATGTCAAAAAAAATTACATCTGTCACAAATTTGAACAGAATAAAACAGCACTGTAGGTCAAATTGTAGAATCATCTAATTTTACTTCACTGGGTTTTAGAAAACAAACAGATACAATAAAGAGTTCTTAGGAGATTTAGTAGGGTTTCTTTCTGTTGGTTTTTTTTTTTTCCACTAGCTAATACAAAATAAATATTTAGTTTTGCTACTAGGGTTCAGTAAATAGATACAATGTGTTTTGGTTTTTCAGATTCCAGAAGTGAAATTAAAGATACAGATATGATAGTCCCCCTACTCTCATGTGTGTTTGGGTGTCTGCAAACTAACTCATATATATTTGAACATACTTCTTAAAAATTTACACTTGTGGGGTTTGATTGCTATTTCTGCATTATGACTCTCTAAAGAAAATGAAGAGAATTTCATTTGATAGTTGAATTCAACAGAACATTTTACCCAATTTTTAAATTTACATTTTATGTATATGTATTTTAGAGCCCCTACTATGTAAAAGCATTAAGCTAGACACTTTACACAATTAAACTCATTTAATAATGTGTGATGAGGCTGGGATTGTGGCTCAAGGGTAGAGCGCTGGACTAGCACAGGCGGGACCCAGGTTCGATTCTCAGCACCACCTAAAAATAAAAGCACTGTGTTGTGTCCATCTACAAAAAAAGAGATCTCTCTCTCTCTCTTAAAAAAAAAAAAAAAAAGAATGTGTGATTTATTGTTATGTATATACTTTGTGAGGTTAGGAAAATAATATTTTGATGATGAAGCAAACCCACTTTCTGTCACTGATGCCTTGTATATGAGCAACATCTAGTCAACCTAGTACATATTACCTCATGCATATATTTTAGAACTTAAGTTAATTAAAACTTCATGATCCAAGGCTGGGGTTGTGGCTCAGCTGTAGAGCACTCGCCTAGTACAAGGCATTGGGTTTGATCCTCAGCACCACATAAAAATAAATAAATAAAATAAAGATATTGTGTCCACCTACAACTAAAAAAAAAATTTAAAAAACTGCATGAATGATGGTGGAATGAGTTAGACATCATTACCCTAAGTACATGTATGAAGACACAAATGGTGAAAATATTTTGTGTAAAATCAGTGACTTGAAAAATTGTGCTCTATATGTGTAATATGAAATGAACTGCTTTCTACCATCATGTATAACAAATTAGAATAAATAATTAATTTAATTTTAAAAAAACTGTATATGATCTGACTCAAAGACTCAAAAACAAACAGACAAGAACTTAAGGGCTCTGTGTGACTGTGCATTTGTGCACATGTATACATTTGGACCAAATCAGTCCAGTTAAAGAATCTTTCCTCTTAATCTACACTAAACTTATATGTTCTCCTGTATGTTGGTAAAAAGAAGAAAGGTGTGACTTTTAAAATGAAAAAACAAAAAGTGACAGGAAAAAACATCTTTTAGAATAAAGGATTCTATTTCTGAAGTTAATACACTAAGAATATTGTCAGTATTAAGTTATAAGCAGATATTTAAAGAAAACTTGCTATGATAAATTTCTCATTTGTGAATGTACTTAATTATCAGAAAAGTTTACAGCTTTTCTTTTTTTTTTTTTTGGATATTCTATCATCTAATGTTTTTGTTAGATGATAAAATAAAAACCTTATTAATCCTGCTAGCAATACTATAAGATAGACAGGATGGTTAATTCTAACATCAACTTGCTTGGGACACAGTACCCGAAACTTGACCCTCTATAATGTGGGTAGTCTTTACCCAAACAGTGAAAAGACTTAATAGACCAAAGACTGACCTGCACTGGAATAAAATGGGATTCTACCAGCATACTGCCTTTGGACTCCAACTTTAACTCTACTTCCCTGTGTCTCTAGTGTCCCAGCCTACCCCCAGATGAAGGAATTCACAATTACAAGAAACAATTCTTTAAAATCTCAATCTCAATCTTTTTCTCTCCCCTGACCACAAACACACAATTAGTCATCCCTTATCTGTAGTGTCATTTTGTACAATTTCAGTTGACCATGGTAACCTCTGATTTCTTTCAGAAATAAACAACCACTATGGTAATACACGCCTGCTAATTCCAGCCACTTGGGAGGCTGAGGCAGGAGGACTGCAAGTTTGAGGCCAGCCTCAGCAATTTAGCAAGATCCTGTGTCAAGATAAAAAATAAAAAGAATTGGGTATATAGCTCAGTGATAAAGCACCCCGGGTTAAATCCCGAGTATCAAAAAAAAAAAAAAGAAAAAAAAAAGAAACTATTCATAAATTTTAAGGTGTGAAGCAATCCAAATAGTGTGATGAAAATTTCACAGCATTCCACCACCATTCTACTGTGTCTGCTCCGGACATGACTCACCCGGTTGTCCAGTGTATCTAACGCTGTGTACACTCATCCTCTGTTGACCTTGATGATTTGATCAATTGTCACCATGTTGCTTTGGTATATTTATTCAAGTAAACCTTGTTAAACTTAACAATAGCAACCAGAGTACTGATAATTTAGATATGCCAAAGAAAAGCCATAAGGTGCTTCCTTTAAGCAAAAAGGTAAAATGTTCCCAACTTAATAAGAAGTAAAAAAAAAAAAAAAATCAAATGCTGAGGTTAAACATAATATGTATAAAATTCAGTAGTATCCATCGTTGAGGTATTCACTGGGGATTGTGGAATGTGTCCTCTGTGGATAAAAAGGGAACTACTGTCTACATAAAAACTAACACAACACACATACACACACACACACACCTCTGTGGTTTGCACTCCAAGGGTTTATATTTTGGAAGTGTGGTCCCCAGTATGGCAATGTTGAAAGGTGGTTCAACTTTTAAGAGGTGGGGCAGACAGAGAAAATATAAGTCTTTAAGGGCACTGCTCTCATAAGGAATAGATGCATTTCGTCCAAAAGAATTGCAATAAAAAGAACAAGAATGGCCTTTCCTCATGCTCTACCTTTCTGTCTCACAAGGTGATCTCTCCCTCCCACATGTGTTTCCCCCATAATGCCATTACCATGCTGCCAAATACCCAATGCAGACCTCACGAGAGCCGGTGCCAGGCTATTTGCACTTTCAGCCCCCAAAACTGTGAGATATATTAATTTCTTGTTGATAAGAGATACCAGCCCCTGGGTATTTTGTTATAGTAGTAGAAAATGGAGTAGCATACATGCATGCAAACGTGCAAATACTCTCTCTCTCTCTCTCTCTCGATTGGTTTTGTCTCTCTGAAGATCCCTGACTAATACAGGAGGCAATGAGAAAACTACGGTTAAGAAAACCAGTTTGTGCCAACATTCCTTTTAAACTATGATTTGACAAAAAATTTTTTTAAAAAATCAATTCTGGGAAATTATCTGGTGGATCCTCAAAGAATTAAGCATGGAAAAATTTTTACCCTACACATATACTGAAGAGAATTAAAAAGATATGTCCACACAAAATCTTGTACACAAATGCTTGTAACAATCACATTCACAACAGCTACCAACTGGTAAAAAAATATCAATGCCCATCAACTGATAAATGAATAATGAAAATAAGACATATCCATGCAATGGAATGATTCGGCCATTAAAAAAAAAAAAAAAGTAGGGCTGAGATGTAGTCCAGTGGTAGAGATGTTGCCTAGTATGTACAAGACTTTGTATTTGATATTTAGCACCAGCCTCTTTCCCCACCTTGCAAAAACAAAAGGAGGAACAAAGTACGTAATCCTATAAAAGGGGCAAAATGTCCTTCAAAATCTGAGTAAAAGAGGGCAAATACAAAAGGCCAAATATTATATGAATCCATTTCTATAAAATGTCAGAATAAGCAAATCCATGAAGACAAAAAATAGACTAATGTTTGTCAAGGATGGGGATGGAAAGTCAATGAGTATGAGGTTTCCTACTGGAGTGATAAGACTCTTCCTGAATTAGATAGTAGTGATGACGATACAGCCTCATATGAATATACTATAAACCACTGAATTATACACTTTAAAATGACTAGTATTACAACTGGTGGAATTATCTCAATAAAAAAAAAAAAAAAAACGGTTAAAAAAATCTACTCACCTGCCCTTTTTCTGGTGCCAAGCAATGAACAACTTCATCCACCATTACTGGAATATGTAATTTGGCCATGGCTTCAGAATCTATATCTTGAGATCTCTGTAACTCCTGATCTCCAGTTAGATCTGTTTGCTCCTGGGTTTCATTTTCATTATATCTTTCTGCTGTAGTATGAATTTTTTTTGGCCAAACACCTAAATTATGTATGCCAGATTTCAACCAGCATGAAAAATATTCTCTAAATATTCTACAAAAATATGGGTATCGAAGCATTCTGTAGTTCAACAAGTCTAGAAAAGAAATTTAAAATGATAATTGTTGGATTTTTAAGAAGAATGTTATACTTATGGAAAAGCAAATTAATATGAACTATTTAATACACCAAAAAAAAGTAAGAGTCATTATCTGAATAAGTAAGGTGACTAACCTCCTTATATGAAACAAGGACTCTAAGAGAATGCAGAATCATATTCAAATATAATTTTTAATGTTGCCTGATAAGTTCTAAGACCATTAGTGTTTTAACCATGATGATATGAAAAGTGGTTATTCAGTAATCATTTTTCACGTTTTTGAACTTTAATTGGTTCTAAAGAGTGGATTTGATGAGTCAAAATTATTTATGGATGACTGAGGGGATTATGACTATCCTAGTTTATGTTAAGGTGATCTTTTATTTCAAGATCTTTTATTTGTTTTTTTTCCATATTGTTAAATTTTCATGTTTAATTTACCTTTGTAGGAGTGACTATCCCTGAAAAAAGGCCAGACATGTAAATCAAAAAAAGATGATCAGTCTCTGAAAATACTGCATAGTTCTCTTGGACAGTCTCTGAAGAAATTATCTCACCACAGCTTGTATCAGTGGAGTATATATATCCATTTAAACAACAACTAAACTCAATTGAACACATCTTGGCATTTCATAGCCCCCTTTTTTTGTGTGTTTGGTTTTTTTGATACTTGGGATTGAACCCAGGGCCTACTCATGCTAAGCATACACACTCAACCTCTATGCTTCAGCCCTAGACCCCCACATTCTAATTGTCCTTGTGCCCCAAGATCAAGTAATTAAATAATTGACACATTTCTTGAATTTCTTAGATGTGTTCTATTTTCTTCTGCAATTTTAATTCTTTTAAATGCAGAGGGGGAAAATGTTATTTGTGTAAACATTAACAGAAAACCTTTTGAAAACACTGTTTTATGCAACAGGCTTCAATTGATGTTTTTAATACAACCATAATAAATATCTAGTTAATCATACTCTTCTTTCCTTATAGATTGAGTGATTTAAGAATAAGACCTATACCCTTGTATCCATAGAAATCTGGTGTACACTATGTACTTAATAAGTATTCCTAGGAAAAAAAAATGATTGGATAGATAAATTCCAGACTCTACAGAATAAACATTTTTATCTATCCTAGCTTTAGGAAATTTCACCTGATTGATTCCACCAAAAAAAATATGGTCTCAAAATTACACTTAAATATGTTACTTTCCTTTTGCAATAGAAAATGAAGAATTAATCACATGTATTGACTAAAACCATGGAACACAAATATCTGACATTATACATATGTAACATGAATGAGTTGTTACCTTAAAGTCAATTTTTTTATCATCCCCAGAATTATGTGGTTATGTGACATAGAAAAAAATGTAGTCACAAAAAGATAAATTAGAAATGAGATTTTTAAATAAATTTCTGGATATTACCCATCAACAAACTGGCCAAATTGTTAATTATGTATACAAAGCAACTCTAACTACTCTTTAACTTACTGTATCTAAAATTTTTCAAAATAATACCTAACATTTATTTAGCACTACGTACTACTTACTTTAATAACACTACATGATCTAACTCATTTAATTCTTCATATAACTCTTGGAGTTAGATATTATTCGTCCCATTTTACAGATGAATAATTTGTCAAAGTTCACATAGCTAGAGAGATATAATATAAGCAGTCTATCCCCAGAGTCTAAAGTCTTAATCCCCATGCCATAAATTTCACCCACAGGAACTATTTAATGCACTCATGTAATTTAATGATACCTTATGTTGACTATGTATGTGTAGTATCTCATGAATTCAATTTTCTTGCTTCAGATGGAAATAAGAATGGGGTAGCTAATAGAAAACATATTGCAATAGGCCTAAACAGTGGAATCTGGAATATTTAACAGAATTACACTCTATGTCCTGATTTTGAAAATTGTTTTTAAAGGAAGCGTCATTTCTAACATAGGAATCTGAACTATGTGGGAAAAAACAAGTACAAGAATAGATTTTTTAAGAATGCTATAGCCAGCATATGATTCTTTTCTACTGTATTCAGTTCCTATATATTTATTCATTGTTCAAGGCACAAAGACTTAAAATTTAACCATGAATTGATTGCCTACTAACTTGGTCAACATGGAGAAAGGGCTACGAATGACTCATTTTCCTCTTTGGTTGTTTCCTAGAATACTTTCTTTTAAATGTAAGAGGGAAAGCTGTAAAGGGAGTTCATTTTCTGTAACAGTGTCCTACTAGACTATCCAGAGTCCTCCTGTGTTCGTCTAAGAACCCACCACTTTAAATCATTTAAGATTGTTTTTAAGTTTCCTGTGTTCAGAGAACCAAGCCCAATCAGTAAACCTAGACTCAGGAGCAAACTGTATGATGTCCAAAGCAAATTCATTGAACTTTTCTCTACCGCAAACTTCAGTTTAGTAATTAAGGACACAAAATTGGCGAGGTGAGTCTTTTAATTGTGGGAACAAAAAAAAAATAAGTGATGCCTGTAAAGACTACTTCCTCACGGTGCTAACAATTACCATCATTAATCAGTTTTCCTCTGCACGGAAATCCTGTTTCAAAAGGCAATGCTTAATGCAAAAAACGCGACCTGGAGGCTGGCACCCGAACGCTGAGAAAGTGAAAGAGGTTCTAAAGAAATGGAAGAATACACCCTTTTGCCCAAGAATTATACTCTGACAAGAGAAAATTGCTGGGAAAACCCAGGAGGAAAGCGTGCTGAGGAGAGGCGTGGATTCTGTGCCCAGGCGAATCAAGGGACCTCCTAGGAGTTCCCCTAAGGCACAGTGCTTTCCAAAAGAGCACCGATAACTCGGCCACCTTCTCCTCACCTGAGGCACGAAGATTTCTCAGTCGGCCTCTAACTTGGGCCAGTGACGACCACTATGGTGCCGGAGAACCTGAGAGGGCTACACGTCTAGTTCCCAGCCCTGGGGGAATCTTGCAAGGACGGACAAATTGAGCCCAGGTCCGCCCCAGCAACAGAGGACCGTCCGCCTTTCGTTCCGTTGCTTCCAGCCCCAGCTGTGAAAGAGTCTTGCAGGCGCTGAAGTTTCCAAAGGACCTTCCTGGGGGGAATAAATAAGACCTCACCATTGCCATGTTTAAATTCGCGTTTACATCTTTTTTAAAATGTCTGAGGCAACTTTAAATCTAACTTTCCATTCTCTCCTTTACTCTTTGATTTACTATGAAAATAAATTAGTGGTCCAATAACATGACTGTAAATTATAAAGTACTCCAATTTCTAACAAAATGTGGGAACTTATGTTTCCTTAGCTCTACATGGTTGGAAAGTTTGGATTCTATTTTCCTTCATTTCATTACAAAATACCCATTTTCTTTTCCTATGTTATACCTCCTTAATATCTTGCCAAACTTAAGACTAGCCAGCTGGCACAGTATGGCATTGATTGTAATGTCAAAATCAGTCTGCTTTAATCAAATATAAGATTCCTTAAGAATACAGTCTACGTCTCAACACTGCTATATGGCAAGTGTAGCTGAACTGAAGTTAAATGAGAAATAAATACTTGAATGAGGTGTGGAAACAGCTGTAAAACTGATAAGCCAACACAATGTGCATGTCAAAACTGATGAAATTTAAAAATACTTACATTTACTTATTCACCAAAAATAAATGCAATTTTATAAGAATATGGTAAGAAATGCATATTTTCAGATTAGGATATCATCTTACTGTTACTTAACCTAAAAAGTATTTCAGCAACAAATGATTCTGAGTTGGCTTGTTTGTAGAATTCAAGTATTTTACTTTATGGGTATTCTGAAACTTCTGTTTTCTCTTGGTAAAATGAAAGTAATGATATATACATTGCATGGGCTGTTTTTATAATTAAATGAGATCAGAAAATACATAAAGTGACTAATAAAATACCTGAAATGTCAAAGGTAAAGTACCATACAATAAGGACATATTTAAAATAAAATAAAAAGGTTTCTCAATTTTATTGCCAAACCCAGCTTCAAATAACTTCTATTAGCTAAAATGCATATAATAGTGAGAAATAAATAGTAGCTTTATTGATGATCTATCCAGTGTTCAGAGACAACCATAAAACATGCATCACATATAATACACAATGCCTCTGATTTTCTTCAGCCTACTGAAGAATCATAGGATCCGTAATCTGTTGAGATACCCATACATTGTTTCACTATAATTGTCTGCATTGTCGCATCCTATTTATATACAGTGATACTGGATCACTAGAATATGAACTCCAAGAAGGTAGGGATTTTGACCCTACTGTGTACTACTGTGTCCCTAAAATCTACAATCAATATTTGCTGAAAGGATACAATAACAGTAATATAAAGAACAATAAAATTCAAATTACTCAGTAACTCAGTGGCAGAGGGCTTGCCTAGCATGCATGAGGCTCGGGGGTTCAATCCCCAGCACTGCAAAAATACAATAAAATTTAAATTTAAATATCTTTACAAAGGAAGACGAGTTATCTTAGCAAAAATATTTCTCATTCTTTTTCAAGTACTTTTTGTCTTTTTCAAGTGTACATTCTGAAATAATACCTACAATCTTAAGACTTAAAAATTATCACTTCATCCAATAACAAACTAAGCCAATAGCTTTAAATAAATTTATTTCGTAATGCCATCATTAAAAGAATGTAAAAAGCAAGCAAACACCAAATAGCTTCAACCAGGTAGTAGGCCCGGGAGTACTGAGAAATGAAGCCAGGGGCCCTCCAAACATGGGACCTGGATTTCTAATTAATTCGGGGGGAAAAGGCCCCCAAAGGCATGAGCCCTGCCTCACTAATCAGAGAGGGAAAAGAAGAAAATAAATATCCAAAACCCATTAATCCACACCCAACAGGTTCCGCCTCTCCACTTAGCCGAGGGCACACGCCAACCCCTGCCGGTAAAATGTCTCACTCACACCCTGAACTCTGAGACCGGGCCCTGCTCCTGCTGATCAGTTGGCCGAGTGAAGATCCCAGGTGGCTGTCTCCCACCTGCACCTCCGGTCTAGCCCCGCCCACCTCGGCCACCGCCTCCGGAAACCGCCCCGCGCGTTGCCACCGCGACGCACAGAAAAGCCGCTTCCACTCCGCCGCGCCACTGAGCCTCCTGGCGCCAAGAGGCAGCGTACCGTGGCAACGTCAGACGTAGTGACGTCACGAGGACGGCAGCCAATGAAAAGAGCCGCTGAAGGAGCTGGCTTGGTTTTGAATCTTGTAGTGGAGTTTGAAGCGCCAGGAGGCGGACATTGAAGTGAAGTAGTCGCGGTAAACTCTTCCGGGCCTGAGGTGAGTAAGAAGTACTAGAGGAGAAAACTGTGATCCCTCTGACGCTGATTTTGGTAACCTGTCTTGTAGGGAGAGGGGGTCCGGCCACCGCCTCAGGTCTAGAGGACCAGATGCTCTTGTTGACAAACAGAAGCGTTAAGGGGGAGGGCCAGTGCCTGGGGAGAAAGTGAAAGCCGGAAAGAACTCCAGTACTAACCAGGAGCATGGTTAGCCTGACTTCTCTGCAGGAAGGGCAGCGATCTTCTGCCTTCAGTTTTGACAGGAAGTTTTCTAGGGTATCTTGGCTTCATTCATTCCCAGACTTTGGCATAGGACTGTAACTGTCCAGCACCTTTCAGTGTGAGGGTCCTGGACTCCAAATTTGGAGTGTTTTATTTCAGATGCAGATGTAAGTGTGTCTCTGGGCTTAACTATCAAATGAGGAGTTTTCGTTCATGACCGCATAAAGTTTTTGGCTGGCGAGGTTAAGCTATTAGCTTTGTGCTACTGCTCCATTGGGAGCCAGCTCCTAGCCCCAGTTGTAGCTTCAAGGTAAAACCTGTCCTGACTACCTAACGGACTTTCAGAGGTACACTGGCAAAGTGCTCTGCAAATGAGAGTGCCTGTGAGCGCTGAGCATCAGTCCTATGGTTTCTCCTTTAGCTAATTCAAGACTTCAGGAGTTTATTAACCCCTTTGTTACAAATAAACCAAAACAGGCTGCTGCACTTTAACTTGAACTACTCTTGTGAAAAAGAAATGATCTGATGAGAACTAATTTTGTTCCATAGTTTATAACTTAAACTATGGAATAATTGGGTAAAAAGTATTAAATACTCAACAGGTTCTAGCTGTTGGTGTCATTTCACTGCAGACAGCCTGTGACTTTGGTTTTAGGACGTTTTCTTGAATTTTGGAGCTATAGGATATGAAGTTAAAAGACTAGATTGTTACTGAGTTTATATTATTTTGTAAGAACTGCCCGTTTCAGTAGAAAAGAGTATCTGCTTTTAACAGTGATCATTCGCTTGTGTTATTGAAAAGCATTTACAAGCACATAAAATTTTCATTTTAAAATTACATCTTGTCCTACTATAGATATACCTCAAATCAATAAAATGGATTTTCTCCTGTTAACTCTGACAACTAAAATAAAAAAAAAAAGCCCATCTGTCAGTGATGCCCTTCCCTTCACTAGAATTTTTCATTCTTTCCTGATTGATGCATCAGTTAGTGGGAGTTAATGAAGTTAGTGGAAACAGTGGCTCTAATAATAAGATTATTCAAAGAATAGGTCAAGTTAAATACTATAAATGAGGATAGTTCCCAGTCCTAAGAAACTCTTGTCAAATCGGAATAGAATTCAAATTTGAGTTTACTGATTTTTTTCTTAGAAACACATGACCTTAACAAACAAAAGATCAGTATCTGTCTTCAAATTTAATAACAAGTTGTAAATAACATAATTCACATATGTCTATTTTGGTGCCATTGTTTGGAAGCTTTCTCTTCAGATTCTAGTAGAGCATAGTTATAAAAACATGGCCTTTGGATTTGAATCCACTTAATGGCTCCCCACTGACTAGCTATATCATTTGAGAAAATTACTTATCCCAAGACTGTCCCTGTGTTTGTAAAATAGTAATAGAATCTACCTTATATGATTATTATAAGAATTGAAGGAGATGATGAATATCAAATGTTTACCATAACACCTGACACATAGAGTAAACTCAGATGATAATCATCATTGCTCATTATCACTAGTTATCACGATACAGACTTAATCCAAGCTTTTTTTTGTTGTTGTTGTTGTTGCCAACTATCTTTTTTTATTTATTTTCTCTTTATTTCTTTTTTGATACTGTGGATTGGACACATGGGGCACCTTACCACTAAATTGCATTTCTAGCCCTTTATATATTTTTTTTTTGAGTTCAATTCCTTGTTGTATTCTTTTTTTTTTTTCTTTATTTTTTATTGTTGGTTGTTCAAAACATTACATAGTTCTTGACAAATCATATTTCACACTTTGTTAATCCAAGCTTTTTTAATAACATGTTTCCTGAGAGTTGCTACTGTGTGATGTGGGGCAGGCACAGCAAAATCATCATCAGTTATGTTTCAACATGCATTTGAGAACTCTTTTACTAAGACTTGAGATCTTCTATTGTAGGCAACTAGAGTACAACTAGGAGTTGAGGGACGAAGGAAATGAAGAGATATTGGTCCAGATGTACAAACTTTAAGTTATAAAATAAACTAGTTCATGGGATCTAATGTACACCATGGGTAGTGATAGATCTATTAATTTGTGGTAATCATTATACAATGAATATATCAAATCTTTACATTGTATACCTTGAATATATACAATCTTTATTATCAATTATATCTTTTTTAAAGTAAGCAAATATGTATATATTTTTAATTTCTATGGGAAAATCTCTGAGGATCTCTGCTCTGAACGGATTACATTGCTTTTTGAATTGTGTGTATATTTTATGTAGTTAGTCGATTAATTCATTTGTTTGTCATTCATTTGAGAACTTACTGTACCAGACTCTCTACAAAAGACTAGTGATATCAAGTAAAAACAGTTACATTAGCTGTTATTTCTTATTATTCTCTTGTACCCTTTTCTAGTCATATGCAATAGCCATAAAATTTTGGAGCTAGGAAAGGACCTTAGATATATAATCTAACCTTTTTGTTTTATATATTAGCATCTCAAGTTCCTTCATTAGTCTTTATACCATACTTTCCCTAGACATGATAACTATCCTTCTATTAAAATTGACAGTGAACCAGGTATAGCACACATATGTAATCCCAGCAACTCTGAAGAATGGGGAAGAAGTATCACAAGCTTGAGATTAACCTCAGGAATTTAATGAAATCCTGTCTCAAAATAAAAGAGACTGTAGATATAGCTTAAGAGTAAAGTGCCCCCGGGTTCAATCCCCAGTACCAATAAATAAAATGGGATTGAAGATATTTATCCTTTATATTGTAGTCCTACCAATGAAATCCTACTAGTTTGCTCTTTTGATTCTACTTAAAAAATAACACTTAGGAGAAGATATGACAAAATAAATCAGAGACTGCAATCTCTTAGTCAACCATGTTACAAAGAAAGCAAGCATCATGTTTTAATGTAGGACCCATCTCATTACTCCCTGAAGATATATATCTAAACTTTTCAAATTATTACTATCACTATTATTATTATTTTGAAACTGGTCTCCTTATGTTTCCCAGGTTAGCCTCCAAATCTTGTGCTCAAGAGAGCTAACTGCCTCAGCCTCCCCATTAGCTGGAACTATAGGCACATGCCACAGTACTAGGCTTTAATTTTGTTACTTTTTTGATGATTCTGTTGACTTTGGGCGTCATTATTAAGAAAATTGAGGCTGCAGTTGTAGCCCAGTGATAGAGTACATGCTTAGCATGTGAGTTCCCTGTTCAGTCCTAGCACCAAAAAAAAAAAAAAAGTTATGCTTACTGGTTTTTTTCTTAGAAACACATGACCTTAACAAACAAAAGATCAGTATCTGTCTTCAAATTTAATAACAAGTTGTGAAACAAAGTTAGGTTTAACATTATACTTCTTAAACTCCTTTATGTGGTTGTCCTGAAGTACCTATTACCTTATAAAATGCCTTAGATAATTCTCAGTTAACCTCAAACTCAAATCTAAACTCTTAAGCCTTAGATTCCAGATTCTAAAACTGGCCCCACCCTTATCCAGTTTTGTTCTTTTAATGCAGTCCTCTCCCTTCCACAGCACTCTCCAGCTGCAGTAAAAGAAAACAGAGATTCCCTTGAACATTTCGTTAGAAGTCTACTCACACATTCTAACTATCTCAGACCCTAGAAAAATGCCTAGCACATACCTGTCAATAAATATTTACTAAATGCAAAACTAGTTTTCCTTCCTGAAATATGTTTATCTGGCTAATAACTATCCATCCTTCAGCTCTCAGTTCCAGTCACATTCTCCAGGAAGATTTCTAACTATACTCATCCCCCATTGTAGGCTTTTATAGCACTTGTCAACACTTCACGTTTGTGTCAGTCCTATATTAATATGTTTCCCTTACTACACTGTGAATTAAAAAAAAAAAATAGCAATAGTAACAAACACTTGTAGCAAATTCTTGTGCCTAGAATTATGCTAAATGTTTAATCCTTATCTAGTTCTTACCACAAGTCTATGAGGAAATAGATACTATTATTAGACCTACTTTACAGATGAGGAAACTGAGCCACAAGGAAGTTTAATAACCTGCCATTGTCATAGCCAGCAAGTAATAAAGCTGGGTTTTAACCAAAGATGTTTGGGCCTAACATCTAATAGTTAACCTCTTTAAAAAAGTAATTGGCAAGGTTGTCTCACCTTCTAAACTTGCAATTCTAAAGCTTTGTTTTGAAATAATCACATATTTGATGTCCTTTTAGCCCATTTTTGTGTATTTTTATCAAAAGTGTGTCTGTTAAAGCCAAAACATTGTTGAATATTTCAGAAATGTTTTGGCAATATATATGTGGGGAGATAGTTTTGGGTATCACAAAGAATGCAGGAGACTACTAGCCTGTAATGGGCAGGGAACAGAAATACTAAACATTCTCTAATACATGGAACAGTTCTAAAGAAAGAATCATTCTACCCAAAATGCTGTTCATATAACCACACTGGGAAACGTTAAAGGATGAACTCACTATGGGAAGAAGAGGCAGAAGTAGGGATAGGTAGAGAAGAAAAATTGATATTTAGTACATACTTTAATTCACTTAGTATT